TCAACTCTCAAGATCAAGTAGGCTCACACTGTAAGGTGTGTACTTGAGCCTACTTGAATCTCAGCCCGAGATTGTTGTACTCTTCAGGGTTTTCCTTCTGGTGATTTGTTTCAGACGATTACAAACTTTACGTTCATATCAAGATCTGGAGTATTGAATTAGGACAAACTATCTTCAGCTGCTATTCAAAGATAGCATGAGACAGGAAAGGTAAATAAGCAAAAACAAACAAACAACCCAGCAAGAATAAACTGAAGAAGGAGTGAAGAAGGTACGCAAAAAAAAGCAGGACAATGTGGATGGCATTTGTTTGGTTTTTTTTCTCCCGAGAGAATCTGATAACTTTTAACAGAAAATAACTTGATGTGGGAAGGTGGAGGCAAGCCACTAACCTTCATTAGAAAAGACCATGATTTGGGTATATCTCCATTTAAAATGAACACAGCTTTTTACCAGAAATTGTTGGTCATACTTTCTGCTGGTAAAATAAAATTTAAAAGTAGCTTGATTCCTCAAGCCATTTATCTGAGTTCTTTCTGAGTTCAGCAGAAGCTGGGATAAATCATTCTACTATGGCTCTATGAATCTACCTCACCTTTTAACTTGTTATAACAGATAAAATCACAGTTAGTTAAATCTCCTACAATAAAAATTCATGTTTATCGTGAGGTCAGTAAGAGCAATAGTATGTTTCCCAACACTTATTAATACAATTAGTAAAATATTAATAGTGGGAGTCTTCATAAAAATATAAAATTTAAAATGAAAGTCGTGACCAAGCTACATAGGAAATCTTTATTCCACCTGTAGTATTCTTCCATTTTGCCAGATTTTCAAAATATTTGCAATTCATTGGTTGCAGTTCATAAAATATCCTGAGTAGGAAGAGACCCATGAGCATCACTGAGTCCAGTTCCTGACCATACACAGCAGCCTAGGAGTTAAACCATGTATCTGTGAGCATTGTCCAAATCTTTCTTGAATACTAACAGGCTTGGAATCATGACCACTTCCCTGGGGAGCCTCTTTCCAATGCCTGAACACATCCTCACGTGTCTGTATGTATTTTGAGAAAACATTTGAGAATTTTCAAAATGACTGCAAGATCTTTCAGAAAAATAGGGCAGCTCTGTCCACCACAAGGGGTTGGAAATTCATGATTTTCAAGGACTCCTCCAACCTAAACTGTTCTATGATGCTACAAGAAACAGTAAGAGAAATTCACTGAATATTGTACTGTTCTGAATTTGGTGAAATCTGTGTGAGTTTTATATATCAATTTAAATCTCTAACTATAAATTTCTTCTGCGGGGTTTTTTCTTCTCAGTGCAGATTTTTTTCCTTTTCATAGGGCTACGAAAGTCATCATTAAAATCTGAGAAAAGAAATCACAGCCTGGAGTGCAATAACAGTAAGATAGGTGAAGTTTTGAATTTAGAGACTGACATACTTCAGAAAATTTAGCTTTGCTGTTCAAAAAGAATAACATGAAATGTCTTAGTCTGACATAAGTATCACGGTCAGAAAATAAATTCTAAAGCCATAAGTAAATGTAAACAAATGCATATTGTCCTTTTTGCCAATTGCAGATATTTGAAAAGCTAACAGCTATTCGAATTGTGCTGTGAACTAACTATTCTCCACTGTAGGAAGAAGAAGATCTTCCCAGGATTCAAATACATTATTTTTCATCTTCACTGTGAAGAGCTTTTTCCTCTTCTTTTCTTCATAGAATAAAAGGCCTTTCTGTTCTTTCAGTTGTGCAATCTCTGCCTTTTAGGGGGAGTTTCTGCTCCACTCACCCATCACCACCACCCAGCAACTCTGCAGTTTCTGTGCTTGATCTAGGAGAACAATTGGTAAAGGGGCTGAGAAGAAAAGAGAAGTACGCGCATGTGCGCACACGTACTTTTTCACAAAGGAAGGGAGGAAAATTGGTGATCCCAAGAAAAAAGACTTAAAACATCTCAGGTAGAAATGAGAGCATTTCCTAGTCTAGCTGTGTGATCAGGAAGGCATTTGAAAGCTTACATTTAAATGGCTTAGGCAGCTTTGCAGTTGCATGGTAAATGGGTGCATTTGCATTTATGCATTCAAATATGCAACTTGGTCTGAACATAGTCTACAGTATCCTATGTAATCTATTGGTATTTCTGTCACACTGCAAAGTCTTAAAGCAACAAATCTGGGTACAGTCTTTATTTTTTCAGTTATATTTTGAAATAATACTAATTTGATGCACTCTCAAAGCTTTCCTAGATAGACTTTGATAAGTTTGGATTTTGAACTTGGATAATTGAGGATATAGTCTGTAGAAGCTGTGTAGTTGAAGGGCTAAGGAGAAGAAAGAAATCCTTCATTGCAAGGTCATGGTGGTTTGGCTGCTTGCAATTTACTGGCAGTTGAAGACCGTTCAGTGGCAAATGTGGCAGAAAGGGCATGTGTCCACACTGCCAGCACCATCAGCATGGCACATGGGTATTGTCTATGGTAATAGGAGTTGATGAAGAGATTGAAAGAGCAAAAGATTAAAATACGTATACAAGTACTTATACAAAATAAGTATACAAAATAAGTATTCTTTCGCCTATAGCAAATTCTTTTATGTTAGTAGATATGTCCCGTCTGTCATTTATTCTGTTTCAGTCATGGTCATTATGCGTCTGGCATCCTTCGTAAGAATTGTGTATGTTGTATACTGGTTACGTTCAAATACAACTGTCTAAGCTAGTTTATAAAAAAAGGTTTTTTTAAAAGCTGCACATGCACCATTTCAAAAATAGGCAAGTACATTGCATTTATCCTTACAAAAAAATTGGCTGATGAGTGACTTCAAGCAGTGATGCACTTATATTCATGTAATCTGCGTGTGTTCAAACTAAATGTGGTCACTTTCATTTTGTGAAGTAAATTAAAGGGAAAATCCTGTGTAGACTCTTGGTTTGTTGTTTTTTTTTTTTTTCCTTCCGATGGTGTCCTAACCTTAGTAAGAAGAAAACTGGGCCAACTAGTTCTTGCTTTTATTAAAGTTCCTGTTGGCAGCACGCTGTTGGGACACATTAATCTTAGTATTAATTCTGAGGAAAAGGGACTAAGAAGCCTAGGATGAATAAATCATTCTGGAGGCCATTTGGATGCCTTGGCACCTTCTGGGTTACATTGTTGGTGGATGAAAAGGCTTCTATAAAGTGTTAAAGGGCTGGATAGCACAATTGGCTGTTTGCAAAATTACCCACAATAATGTGTGAGCATTCTGCTGGAGGTAGGAAGAAAAGAGTAGGGTGGTTGGAGCACCTGTTTTTGTGCAAAAAAAAAATAACACTCTCATGATTATACATGGCGAGTTTGAGAGCTGGGGCTCATAAGAGCCCCATGTAGGCTTTGTCACTGAGAGCAGTGAGTGCTGTTTCCATTCCAGTTCTGAGGTATTTGTTGATACCAGGGAGAAAGAAGAGTAGTTGAAACTCATCCTTTTGTGTTGTCACTTCGTACATTTTTTGGAGGCCAGGGGACAGGACCCATTTTTTCCACTTCAAATAAACCAAAAGAGGATTTTTCTATTTATCTTTCTCTTGATGACTAATTCTGAAATACACTGCAAGATAAAATTGCCAGACTCCAAAAGTGGCTGCTGATTTTCACACAGTAGTAGCTAAACATTTTCAGTGGCAGTCAGTGAACAATTACATGCTACAATTTACACTGTCTTCTCTAGCATGTTCTTTGACTGAAGAAGCACCTATTATTAGCTAGGCAATAATCAAATACTTAAAATAGGCATGTAAAAGAAGATTTGGAGAATAATGCATGCTACCATTTAATAAGCATTTCACTCCCTCATTAGATGCACTGAAGTGTAGAAACCCAAGTTATATTGCTATATTTTTAGCTGACAAATTTGCTGTTGGGACGGTTATGTTTTCTCTTTGCATTTTCTTCATACAACAATCTAGTTTTATAAACACGGATCATCTGTAATGCAGTGAATGTAGTGTACAACAATTTTTTGAATGACTTTTTAGTTGTTAGATGGCAGAAATCGAAGTTAAAAGAATACTGAAACTAGAAAAGTGAAAAACAATATGAAATGTCTCAAAACATTTAATTTTCAATGAAATAATAGAATATCACTGTACCACTTGTAACATAAATGGGATTGTTTGAAAGCTATCAACCTGTTCATGTACTGATATAGATAGACTTTTTCAAGATAGCCAGTTCTCAGTGAGCTTAGGAAGGAAATGCTGCTTTCGTGTATATATGTTTCTTGTAAAGATGTTTGGTTAGTAACAGTTTGCAATATGACAACTTAAGCAATAGACAGTATTGGTAATGCAACACCAACAACAGAAAAGGTGGGCAAGAGCCACTGTTTATGTTTGATTGCTTCAGAATATGAATTTCTAAAGGAAGTGCAAATAATTTAGCTCATTTTTTAAGGCAGAGAACATACTTTTATACTGATAGAGCATCTTACTTTCTTTCTGCTCACTCTGTTTCTAGCCTAGAGGTATACTTAAGTACACTGGCTGTGTAGTGACCTAATGTTTGGTTCAATTTGTCCAGGACAGACAAGGAGCAGTGTAAGTGTAATTCTATTCACATACTTCCAGACTGAGTAGTTTATATTAAAATTATTTATTATTTTAGAACACCAGTTAAAGAGAGAAAAAATTAACTTTTTTCTTTTTAATCTCCACTTCTTAGATATAGCCTTATAGTATACACTTACCACAGGGTGAACTTCACTTACTACTATTTTTGTAGTTCTTATACCTTTGGCCTTCTGACTTGAGTGATACAATAAATAAAATAGAGAACTGCAAGATGCAATGATTAATAGAAAAATAAAGCTTCCATCAGGTATAGAACCTGAGTACCACTTATTCTGCATTTACATTGTGGTATTTGGAGATCATGAAATCTCATTGTAGGGTCTGGGGGTGATATTTGTCATTTTGTACTAAAGCAGATGATCATCATGTATTTCTCCATTTCAGGAACCCCTGCAAGGGTGTTCTACTGCAGAGAAACAAAGACTGCAATCTCAAGCATCTACTTTGAAGGCACCCAGGAAACATACCAACTTAATGTAGCCAGGATCTGCATTACTATCCCTAAGAAGACTTAAATCTTTGGAACTTAGAAGAAAAACTATTCTGTGCAGCATGATAAACCTGTCAGGAAACAGAAGACAAAGTCCTATCTGATCTAAGGTTGTGGAAAGCTTTCCAACTCACAAGATAAGGTAAGCTCAATCCAAATAGAAAGTGGAACAATTTTTTTGATGGTATTAATAAAAATCAGCAATTTCCAAGATACGTGAAGTAAAATGCTATTATAATCAAAAATTGCTTTCTAAATTCCTCACCTTTTTTATTTTTTTTTGATGGGAAGTGCTAGGTAATATTCACATGCTGCGCATCATGTGCCACATCAGATGAGCTTGAGCCTCTTTTGAAAAGCACAAGATTAATGTGTCTTTGCTCATAGGAGTACATAATATCTGGTGCTCAGTTCCACCTTCTACCAATGGAAAGCTACTGCTTTTGCTACCGAGCAGAACACTATCCTGGTTTGTAATGCGATTATTAAATTGCATGGGGGGCCTGAGTAAAATTTTACCTTGATTTTATAGAGTCATTGCCTTTAATGGACTTGTTCCGAATTTTCACCGGTATAACTGCAAGTAAAAACAGGCCAGAAGATGTCACGTAAGACAGAATAATTCCATCTTGTAAACCATAATGCAGGTTACATGTAGTTAAGTATGGGTCCAGTAAATTCATCTTTCAGATGATGTGTTAAGTGACCTAGGATGCTCACGGTTACTTAAATTTTCCTGTCTCTTCTCATAGGACAAGGGAAGTTCAATACTAATAGTGTCCAAAAGAAATTCTAGGTAGTATTTTACTTAGCTTAAATTGTCTTTTTGCATATGTTTAGATCGTTGTTCTTCACTTCATCTTTCTGAAAATCTAACCAATTGAGTCGTAACTTTTGCAAATGACAGATGTGTTATTGCCCAGAAACAACATACACTAGAATTTCTCTTAATCTGTACAATTGAACTGCAAAACATCGATAAAGTCTGAATTGAAAAAGCAAGTGAAGAGTCAAGATTGATGTTTTAATATTTAAGGACAGATCCTCAGCTAATATAAATTATTTTAGATTTCTTGAACTACCATTTTATTTTTATCTGGTTTTCATTTCTTAAAATAATATTCTATTTTATTTGGTCATGCACCCTAGGTGTTACTAGTCTTGCCTGTTTATATAAAATCTCTTGTGACAATTTGGTCTTAAATGAAAAAACAAGGTACAAAGTATTACTCTTTTTTTCTTTTTTTTTTTTCTTTTTCCTTGTATTTGCCCTGAATTTATTCTAAAATAATTCTACAAATTAGTTACTGTAAAAATAAATATTCTTTGAAAATTACTGGCTTTCTGCATTTGCCTCTTTGGGCAAACCCATCTGCATTTAGGATCGCCTCAGTTAGTTGTTGCTACATACAGAAATAAGTTGTGTTTTCTGCCAGCCTTTTGGAAGATAGGATAGTGTCATGCTATGGGATGTTGTGAACAGGTATGTATGCATTAAAAAAATGTAAGGAAGGGCATGCAAAGCAGTACTTCAGCATTCAAGTTAAACACATCAAATTGGAAAAGAGTGCTGTGAGCAAACTAGAAAATGGAATGTGAACAGGAATAGTAGTTTCAGCTTACTAGTTACAGGTCTCCTAAAATACTATAGTTTTTGGATTTCAATTCTGCAATACTATATATTTGGTTTTTCCAGTCCAAGTCCGTAGCAAATTACAAATTACTTGCATGCTGTGCTGAGACACACACACACACACACACACACACACACAAAAGTAGGGTAGAAACAGCTGCTGTTGGCTCTGTAGTTTTGCTGCCAGTGATTCCTAAATTCAGCCAACAAACACAGTTCTCCTTCACTTGTAGAGCTTCTGGTTTGTCTTGGCCCATGAAACCCTTTGTCCTTTGGCAAAATTTCACTGGAAACCTCAAGCAAATACTGTTTGATCTTTTCCAGCTTGCCTCAAGGAAGAGTATCATGGTTTCAGCTATCCTTCCTCTTCTGAAGGGAGGGAGGGGGAAATTGTATGTGAGGAATCATCTGTGTACAGGCCTAGTCTCAAGAGTCCCAAGAAGTCTTGAACAGCTGTGACTCCTGTGCTTAACATGTGCTCTTCAGTAAAGCATTTGCCAGGATAACCACTGACTAACACATATAATGGTTCTTATTTTATTTTCCATCTGTATTTTCCATGCAGTTTACCTGGCACTCTTAACCTCTCCAGAGCTAGAGGACTGCAAAAACTTCCTCTTTGCTAAGTTCAGTGTGTTACCTTACAGGGATAGGAGTCAGCACAATTCTGTTTGCAGGAAAAAAGTCAGGGGTTGTGGCACTTGGTCTTTGATGACTGCCACCCATTGAGATCAAACTGTACTGGCAGCTTACGTGTCATCAAATACTGTTTCAATCTTTTGAATCAAATTCTATAATTTCTGGGTTCAGAATGGCCCTGAGATTCAGGAATTGAGGAAATGAGCAAAGAAAATCAAGGAAGATGAAAAGAGTAGAAGTCTCTCTGACACCAAGACTTAAAAGGAGACTTGCCCTTCTGCCTCGCAGATACACATTTCTACCCAATTTCCACCTGGAGTAAAAACTGGGCGATGTAGAACACAGCAATTTTGCATGTTTGTCTGATGTTCCTCTTCTTTGCTTTCCTTCTTTTTCTTCCTGCACACTTTTCAGATTTGGATTGGCTGCCTGATTTTGGATTACGATCATTTCTATGTAGTCAGCTGGTCCTTCAATACTTACTATGATTTGCTGTACACAACATGATCTTTCTCATTATTCTCACCTTTTCTGTTTGCTCGTGTTGAGATTCTGAGTATACCAGATTAATCACTTCAGTCCTAAATCAGAGAAGTCTGCACATCTGGTCAGTCTCTTTTTTCTGATAGCAAGATGGCAGAGCCATTGAAAACCACAGCCAATAGGAGTAGGTTGAAGAAGACATGGGATTTTTTTTACAAGGGCATGAAAAAGTAAAGAGTATGAGAAGATAGCAATTGTCACAACTTAACAATTAACCTACATGGAAAAAACATCAAAAATGGTTTTAATCTCTTCAAGAATAATATCAGGATTTCCTTGTGAATTGCTTGTGAGATCCTAGTATAATACAAAAGCATTTAGGAACTTGGTACTAATTATTAAGAGGTGAATAAATGCAGTAAGTTTGATTTGTCAGTTCTATCTTGAATTCATCTTGTTTAGGTTTGGGAGGATCTGACTCAGAAATACCCATTCTGTTAGTATTTTTCATGACTCTAAATGTCTTCAAAAACTTGTTTTAAAAATGAATTTGATTTCAGATATCTTTGACTAGACCTGTATCCCAAAATCTTAGATGTGTAGGAAACATATTTCTGTCTTATCCAATGTTTTGAAAAGACAATCTGAAATTTAAGGCAAACAAAAGGAGGAGTACTCTGATCAGATTCTGGGCTTAAAATGAAATTAAAGTAAAAAGAAGTTATTTGCTATTTGTTACTTTAGAGTGGAAAATTGTTAAATGAAAATGTAATTTTTTTTATAGATATCCACTTAAAATTGTTCTCTCTTTAGGCATTATGAAAAAAAGCTGAAATGTTCCTATAAAAGTATCTTGGTCACCAAAACTGCCTTTTTGTTCAAATATTTTTACAAGTACATTAGTTCAGTAGTTCTGATTCACTCAGAATGGTAGCATCTTTATATTCCAGATTGGAGGAGGAACTGGATACTTGCTTCTGTGAATATGCTCCTACTATAAGTGTGTAAGATGGGACCTTACTGTGAGTCAAATGACAGGGTAGTCTCAAGCAGACAAGTGAAAAGCTTGTGAAAAATGTGAACTCTCCTTAAACAGTGTCGCTTCTCTCTGGTTTAAGTTGGTATAATATCAGGAATTGTGGAACAGGAAAGAAATGCAGGAGAGAAAGGTATGGTTTTTTAGGCTTGGGCAATCCAAGATCTGGTAGGGTGAAAGACATCTAGGAATGGTTTGTTCCTTTCATAAACAAATTATTCATTCTTATTGTATCATTGCTTATTCTTCTGGATTATTAGCAGGTTATTTTCTTTTTAACTCTTAAAGCCTTGCCATCCACCTTCAAAACTGCCTCTAGGCATCTTTGATTTGTATGGTTAGCATTTACTCCCTGAGGTCTTATCAACCTTGGCAGTTTACAAATCATATTTTCACATGCATGAATCACCCTTGACTAATTTCTCCGGTACAGTTTGAGCATAAATAACCTTTTCTTTGGCAGCTGCATTCCACTTATTTATTTATTTAATTACTTACTTACTTACTTACTTATTTATTTTCCACCTGTTTATTTTCAATAAACCTGGCATGAATAATTGTATGGTTTTATGGAATACTGCAAAGTAAATCTGTATCAAGATCTGGTTAGATATGTGCTGTCTTGTGGGTTTTGTTGTGTGTTCTTTTTTTCCCCTATTGTGAGTCCTTTTTTCTAATCTCTCTTTCAAAATCAATGAGTTCACAGTGACTTTTGATGTTATTCTTCCCCATGGTAGTTAAGCGTTTCAAAGAACAGAGTGAAATTAACTTTCTCATTGTGACATTGTGTTTATTTAGTAAATATAAAAAAAGATAAAGGTTCAGAAAGTCTTGGGTTCTGCAAAATCTGACTTCCAGTAAATAGCAAGTCAGGGTTGCTGATAACATCAGATGTTGCAGGTAAAAACATTAGATAACAACGCAGTGAAGAAATACAAGGGCATAGCAAAACTCCAATATCGGTACCCCTGCATCAAGAAAATACCTTATGCTGTGTCACATAGTTTCTTGCTGCATAGAAGTGCAGCGTATGAGAACTAGTGTCAAACAGGAGACAGAGCTGTTACCACATTTGTTGCAGATATAGGATTTGAACTGCCAAGCTATGAAGTTATGCAGCTTGGCACCAACAGAGAAGTTGATAACAGTTGGAAAGCAAAATTTCTCAGTCCAACTTCAGGCTCCACAGCCAGGCCACTACAGGCTGGTGCATAAAGGAAAGCATTGTATTATGGAATGCTTTAATTGTGACAGGTCTGAACTTTGTTGGAAAGCTGATTTGTTCTTTGTGTTTTCTGAGGTATACTAACAATTCTAGCAGAAATCAAATAGCTTTATTTTTAACTTTCCT